AATGATGTCTGCCAAGTTTCGTGAAAATCGGTCCAGATTTAGATATAGCTCCCATATATAGTTTCGTCCGATTTCATGTAAATGGTGCCCCAAAGTCCCTATATATCTCTTGATTTGCACGAAATTTAGCATAACGTACTGAATTAAGCCTAGAGTGATGACTGCCAAGTTTCGAGAAAATCGGTCCAGATTTAGATATAGCTCCCATATATAGTTTCGTCCGATTTCATGTAAATGGTTCCCCAAAGTCCCTATATATCTTTCGATTTGCTCGAAATTTGGCATAACGTACTGAATTGAGCGTAGAATGATGTCTGCCAAGTTTCGTGAAAATCGGTCCAGATTTAGATATAGCTCCCATATATAGTTTCGTCCGATTTCATGTAAATGGTGCACCAAAGTCCCTATATATCGTTCGATTTGCACGAAATTTTGCATAACGTACTGAATTGAGCCTAGAATGATGTCTGCCAAGTTTCGTGAAAGTTGGTCCAGATTTAGATATAGCTCCAATATATAGTTTCGTCCGATTTCATGTAAATGGTGCACCAACGTCCCTATATATCCTTCGATTTGCACGAAATTTTGCATAACGTACTGAATTGAGCCTAGAATGATGTCTGCCAAGTTTCGTGAAAATCGGTCGAGATTTAGATATAGCTCCCATATATAGTTTCGTCCGATTTCATGTAAATGGTGCACCAACGTCCCTATATATCCTTCGATTTGCACGAAATTTGGCATAACGTACTGAATTAAGCCTACAATGATGTCTGCCTTGTTTCGTGAAAATCGGTCCAGATTTAGATATAGCTCCCATTTATTATAGATTGATTTTAAGTAATTGACGCACCAAGGAACCAATAGGCTGATAGTAAAGTTCTGAAATTAGTATAACCTAACCTGTGACAGGTTTGTTTGAAATCGCATAGTATTTGGATAGATCTTCCATATATATTTCGCCCAATTTCAAGTAAATTGGGCATCAAACTCCTCATGTTTGTCAGATTGACATCAAATTTTGAGCAACGTACAAAATTGAAGTCGATTGACATACTTTATGAATAGATCTAGGTAGATTCACATTAAGATAAATACCACATATTTTTTTTCATCCAATTTTATGTTAATAGTCCGGTTTAATATACCCATAGTGGTGAAGGGTATCATATAGTCGGCCCCATCCGACTTTACTACTTTCCTTACTGGTTTTTTGCTTGTTTTTGTAGTGTTGGCGGGTTATTTGGGGTACCATTTGTATTTTGTTTTTTGCAAAATAGTCAGGCTTTGCTTTATAAAAAAAACTTTTAAACAAAATTTAAATCCATATTACAAATACCAGTATTTTGAAAAAAAGTGGTGCTTCGGACCATAGTGCCTTTTGTCACACTATAAGAGTAATAATCAGTTCCACTTGATTAACATCGATTTAAACTCCTAATAAAATTCTATGTTGATTTAGCCAGGTTCGTCTGTTCGTTTATAAAATTCCCAAAAGCGATCGAAATTTTTAAAATATAGCTTCGATATTTTGCATATTGCTATGCTGTTTGGTATTGGGTTATATCGGTCAAATTTCGTATTTTCAAACGGGTTTAAATTGGTACTACGAGTTCATAGACGGTGAAATACATATATGGGCACTTCCGACTTCCAGAGGGAAAGTGAAACTTTAAATGTTAAATAAATCAAACGCAATTAAATTTTTCACGCGACTTCAAACATACATGACTTTAGACTTCTTTGATAATAAATGGAAAACTCTACAAATTGTGTGAAAATTTATAGTCATTAAATTAGTATTTATGCTAAGGACAATATGAAACCAGTAAGGAAAGTAGTAAAGTCGGACTGGGCCGACTATATGATACCCTCCACCACCTATGAAAACCTATGATAAATTTATTTTCATTTGGGCAGATTTAGAGTCGTCTGCGTACCATGATACACATTTATGGAAAACGATTTATAGCAAAATTGATACACGCTAATCGGCACTGTTAAAATTTCAATCAGACACCCGTTCAAAATACACATGGAAGCTATGGATGTATCTGTACCAATTTCAACAAAAAGCAATAACGTCATAACGTCATGTCTCAATTTGACACGTTGTGCAAAATTTCGTGTTAATTGGACAAACATTAGGAGTTTGGTACACCATTTACGTAAAATCGGACGAATATATATGTATATTATAGACTCAATTCAGTACACTGTGCCAAATTTCGTGCATATCGAAGAATATATAGGGACTTTGGTGCACTAATTACCTAAAATCGGACGAATATATATATGGGAGTTATATGTAAATCTTGACCGATTTTCACGAAACTTAACACATATCACTCTAGACCTTATTTAGTACGCTATGCCAAATTTCGTGGAAGCTATATCTAAATCTGAACCGATTTTTCCCAATTTTAATAGGGTTCGTCCTTGGGCCAAATAAATGAGCTATGCCGAATTTCATCCAATTCGAATCAAAAAATGCGACCTGTGCTTTGTTTACAATTTAACATGGACAGACGAACGGACTTAAAAAGTTATTATATGCATATTGTCCAAAGGAACCATGTGTCTATCTCGTTTCCTTTTGCCTGTTACAAACATATGCACAAAGACATAATACCCTGTACCACAGTGTGGTGAAGGATATACAAATGACAAATGAAGTTTAATTATAATTAAAGAAAACAATTCTTCGACTTGGATTTACCTTCAGCTGGAAGTGCCCAAATGCATGTTTATAATATGGGTATATGTTTTGAAATAGTGCCGCTATAAAGGTTTCGTTCCGTTTTTTAGTATGCTGTAGGATCTTAAATTGTCCAACATAGGTATCTGGTATTTGGAATTTCGATTTCCCAAGAGGATACAAAATTTCATCCCGGCCGAACTTAATGACAACTTTACGATAATCCACTAAAGAGCCAAGATTTGTCAAATTGACATGTAAAAGTGATTGTAAAAGTGTGATTTGAAAATTTTTTAGCACAAGAGTCAAACATTTTGGTTTCTCAAATATATAGGCTTTTAGCTGTAATTACAAACGGTAAGTTTTAATTTTTTATTTATGTTTTAAAAAACTGGACTTTTTAACGGGAGCTATTCCAAAACACGGTTCCTTATTTTTTTGCTTTCATTGTTACCCAAGATTGAAATAAGTAGTAAGTTACCACAGGCCATCTACAACCTGGTCAATACCCTCCACCATAGTATGGAGGGTATATTAGTTTTGTTTTTCCGTTTGTAACGCATCGAAATAATCATTTCCGACCCTATAAAGTATATATATTTTTCAGCGTAAAATTTTGACGATCTAAGCATGTCCGTCTATCTGTTGTAATCACTTTAGCGTCTAAACCAATTTGGTTTAATGGGTCTTTTGTCTGCAGGCAGGTCAAGTTCGAAGATTTATCGGTCCAAAAATTATTGATATAGGTACCCCCAAATTTTTTTTTGGTAGCCCCCATATAATGTTACACCCAAATTTTCAGTACCAAATTTCTTGAGCGCGTTTTTCAACCGAATTCGCTGTAATTTAGTACTTCGAGTTCTTATTGGGTATCAAATCTCTCCACAAAAAATTATAAATATAGGTCAATTTTTTCGGGTAGTCCTCATATAAGGGTACCCCCAATTTTCGGTATTTTGGGGTTCTTGAGCCCGTTTTTAAACCGAACTCACTGAAATTTGGTACTTTGGGTTCTTATTGTGAAGCAAATCTCTCCACTAAAAATTATAAATATTGGTCTATTTTTTCGGGTAGCCCCCATATAAGGGTACCATCCAATTTTCGGTATTTTGCGGTTCTTGAACACGGTTTTCAACCGAATTCGCTGTAATTTGGCATTTTGTAGTCGTATATGGTAACAAATCTCCCAACCAAAAATTATTAATATTCACCCCCTTTTAGGGGTAGTCCCCTTATAACCCCCTTTTTTATTTTAAAAAAATAGTTAACTGATTTTCTCCGTGTGTTGGGGTTATTCCATATAGCTGTATTCCACCATAGTAGGGGGGATATTCGGTAGACGAAATTTTCAGTTCATACCCCACATAGTATGGAATTTTAAAACGATTTAGTCGATTTAGCTATATGTTGTAATCATTTTTATCTCGGAGGATATCGACTTAAAAACTAAAACGTGAGGTTTGAGAATGAACTGTATCGACCCGCATTTAGGACCAGGTCCTATATAAAACATCCTACATATTTAATATTTAGCGTAATGGACGGTATTGGGATTGAAAACTAAAATATTAGCTTGGAACTTGAGTTACATCGGCCCTTAATTAGGCCTAACCCCTTATATAATGAAAACACCAAGAAGTTGCTAGTTCCTACACAATGTTGTCAATATTGGTCCCGCTTTAGTATGCCTCATATATAATATTGCCCTTTAAATTTGAGTATTTCCTGGATTTTATACACATGTTTCAAAGTACCATGCGTTAATAATATATGTCAACATTTTAGGGTTTTGAGATTTTAGGAAAACCCCAATTGAAATTGCTGAATTTTCTATTTGGTTTACAACAATCGATTGGAAGAATTATCGTTATATGTATGTTCCCTATGTTTTCATTTCAAAATTGTGAGTAATTCTATGGTGGAGAGTATCCAAAGTTCGGCCCGGCCGAACTTAACGCTTTTTTACTTGTTTTAACTTACATTACCTCCATGTTGTTTTATTTCACCGTTTTGAGTTTCTTTTATATATAATAAAATAACATTTTTTATAGATAAATGTATAATGTTTGACCTGGAATATATTTAGACAACATATCTACTATGTTATTAAAAAAACTTTTTTTATTTTTTACCGTTGTTATGCCGAAAATATCAAAAAAATGGTAGTCCACATTACCCGAAGTTCCTCTAGCTCCCATACATATTTTCGTCCAATTCCAATTTACTAAAAAGGCAAAATTTATCCAATAGAACCGGTCGAATACTCCTCTTGGATATACTAGCAACATTTTCCCGCATTAAAAATAAACACCACGTTATAATTATTTTCCACAAAACTCTTGGTCCATTTGAGCCAGCAATACTTATTCGTTGACCAGATCCCCTTTCCATTATGAAATTTATTCGTGTTCGGGTTATAAATGTCTTCAGGCATTACTCCTGTCCAGCATTAGGTATACCGTAAGCAACACAGCACAACAACAGGGTTGTACGCCATCTCCACACATATATGTAAGTCGTGGACGTAACCAGAAACGACCGTGGTAGCAATTCCGATCATTAACTATCCCAAAATACTAGGGTCACATTGATAGCATGTTCAAATAGTTAGCACAAGCGACAGCTATATGCGTTAAGTTGAAAAGTAGCAACAAGGGCCTCATGTCGCTTGCTTTGCAGCATTTGGGGCACAGAAGAAACGTTGTTGACCTCTTACAAAGCGATAGATCGGCCTGTGGCTAGCTATGCGGTGCCACAACAATATTCTGCTACACAACAACAAAATATGTCGCACTTTAGTTTTTTCACAGACTTTGTTCATTTGTTCATCTATATTCTCTTGATGTTCGGGTCACAATTGTAGCTGCCACTACATTGTTGCTTAGGGTATAGAAACGCCATTTTTATGGTATATTTATTTTGACCTTCTGTTTGAAACTCACCGAAATAATCACTTCTTCATACCCACATTTAAATACAGAACGATACTCCAATATTTCAGTATTTTAACGTTTTCATAAGGAATTGGTGGCAAATTATTTTTTTTGTTGTAATTAATAGCAAAACTTAAAAAATATTTATCATCATCACCTAATTTCTTCTGCACTTTGGGCATATATTTCCACCGAATTCGATGTAATTTAATATTTTGGGTTATAATTGGGTAGCAAATCATGCTACCAAACTATTTATAATAGATTCGGATCCCCCATTCATCAGGTATCTAAGAAAATATTCATGGTTTTTGAACAATGATTAATCGATAAGAGAAAAAAACTGGCATTTCAAACTGATAGTGTGTACTCACCTTTAAATTCTGGGTTTTGCAAGAAATCAGTCTTGCAACAGATGATCAGTTTAGGTACACTTTGATATTTTTAAGTGGATTGAAAAAACAACATTTTATTTACTTAACTTATGCTGGTCACAGAGTACTTATCAAATTGTGATAAATTGTTCTAAATAATAATCAGTACTTCAAATTGTTTTATGGCACCTTTGTTCATAAACGTGTTTTATCATCATAGTCAAGACAAATTTCCAATGAGCTTACTATTTACTAAAAACAAGTACTTGAGATTATCAATAAAATTATTGATAATATTTGTATACTATTTTAAACGATAATACAATTCTATTTATAAAATAAAAATCAGCTGTTGCAGTAATGATGAATATTTAATAGTTTATTTTTTTTCTCACGCTACTTTTATTATTTATTTCTTATCATCAGATGATCTCTGCAAAAGAATGTGATACAGCTGCTATTCACCCAACCATTCTAATAGCAACAACAATTTTTAATAATAAAAAAACAAATACAATTCCAACAAAAAATAAAATTATGTTTTGATAAAATCAGTTTTCATCGAGCATTGAACTTGAAAAAAAAAAAACGAAACGAAATATTTTCTGGTGCATTCCGAATACAACAAAGCTAAGCAAAGAAGAAGAACGTTTGCTTGTTGCCAATCGCCAAAATTTGGGAATGACAACGCGGTAAGCACCGGCAAAATTTTTAGTGCGAATACGTGATACAATAACAATACTTATGCTTATAAAAATAGCATAGTAGATATTAAGAAATAAAATTGGTAAAATATTTCAATATTTCCAAAAATATTTCATAAGATGTCAGTGATATTTATAAGGATACAAGTAATGAAGGAATGTAAGAAATTTAATACATTTGTCAATTCGTTTGCGACACCTCGAATTATTCGTCGGAAACCTCCTAATGTATATATATTCTTAATCAGAATAAAATTCGTTTTGGATTTAGCTATCTCACACCAGTGCAGTGTCAAGACGGCATTCGTGGAGTGTTGCATTTTCAAAAAATTGCCTTCATCTGCTTTACAATCGTGCGTACTGCTTTGAAGGCCATCTTAATGTCAAGGAAACCATTATATACTCTTTTATACTGCAAGAGAAAGAGCGCATAATCTAAGCGCGATAATAATTTTATAGCGATTTTTTTGGAAACCGATAACACTCACATACACACATAGTTATAAATTTGAGTACAAGTACTTATTCCTCTTCTTTAGTCGCAAATAATTGAGATTGATGCGATGTCTCCAAATTAAATTGTTATATGGCTAGACATCTTTACAAGCTGGACAATAATATTTTTGTTTCGTATTTCATGTTACCAAATATAACTACATTAATTCTAATTATAAATTAATTATTCACACTAATTGTATTTTCCTTCACATAACTGTATTAAAGAAATAATCACCGATCGATAATTAAAACTTAAAGACAGAGCGAGAGTATACATTAGGTTGTCCTAATTTGAATAACAAATTAGGACAAGTTGGCGTTGAAAATTGCTTTATAAATAAAAAAAGAAGTTGACTGAAATAACCTGATTTGCATGCACTGGATGCATGCACCAAAATAAATAAAGTCAGATATTTAAAAATAATTAAATATACTAAGGATTTATAAAACCTAAACTAACTAGTCTCTTTCATTGATAGGCTAAAAAAGTTTCCGAACCGTCCTTGTACAATACAGACAGCACTTGTGAGTGGTTGATTTGTAGTTAAATATTTTTTTGTATTTCGATTCCGATTAACGTTAATAAATGACCAGATATGCCAGAATATTATATCTACAGTATCAGAGTAAAATTCATCATTTAATTGGTATCCACATTTTGAACCAAACTTTGTATAACCTATTATCTTTACTAAGCCTAGATCAAGTCCAAAAATGGGACCCATGGTCCACTCCTTCTGGTACCAATCCCACAAATAGCCAAATTTTCTATATTTGTAAAATCAATATCAAATTTTGCACAGCCTGTTATATTTCCTAGCCTTGATTAAGTCCGTAGATGGGACCCATTGCTCAAAATTTGCTATATTTATAAATGCAATATTAGCGAAAGTAATGTCCGATTTGAACCAAACTTTGCACAATCAATTACATTTAACAAGTCTTGATCAAGTCCAAGATGGGATCCAGTGGTCCACTCCTTCCGGTACCTCCCTCATAAATGGCCAATATTTTATAAAATTATAAATTTAATTTGAAGAGACCCTCGCGGCCGCGTCCCTAGTTGATGGATAGAGGAAAGTTGATGATGACGTCAGTGGAAACTGAAGGTAAGGGCTTTGTCCCCTCGGACCAAAACTAAATCAAAAACTAAATGTGGTAAGAAGTTGGATAAAGTTACGGTGCAGAGCCTAAATAACTCAGTACCGTCGTGTCGTTGATCTGCCCACGTTACGTCCCGTCGTCATCGTGCGATAGTGAGCAAATATCTCATGCAGATGTGGGTGCCTTGGCATCTGTATTCGAGGATACCACTGGTAGCACGCAGTTAATGAGCAAAAATGGATATGAATTTAAGGATCACAGGGGAAGAGCAGCCTCTGCCCATTCTGAGTCTTAACATGAAGATATGATAAATACAACCGAAGAGGCTGATAAGTGGCAAGGACATCTCCAAGCTCACTACAATAAATAAGAAGTAATCTGAGGCACAAAGGCAAAACTAGCTCGAATGAACCGAAGGAACAAGAATTGAACAGCAAGCCAATGACAGAGGTAATCCAGGTAAACCTCCATCGGAGTGGGATTGCAACGCTGGATCTGATGGAAAGAATAATTAAAGTTAATATACAAATCGGGTTAATACAGTAACCTCGGACTGTTAGAACAAAGTCTCTGGATGAAATCACATAAATTATAAACTATTTTAACATATCTTCTCCCTAGAGTTATCAACATCAGATGCACTAGATATAACTATATCTTCAGCAAACCTAATAGACGAGGTTCAAGAATGGAGAGTCTCACAAGAGTACTCCTTGTTACGGCCACCGCGGAAACAATATTCTTCCGAAACAAGTCGAGTCTAACTATTCCAACTATGACAGCATAAACACTGACCACATAGAAAGGAATGTCAACAGTTTAAAAGATATAATTGTGAAGACTTTCAAAGAAAATTGCCCATTTCGAGAAAGGAAACATCCTAGATAACTGGGGAACAAAGGAAAAGACTTTACAACAGAGCTCGCCACAAGAAATCTGCAATAATACTTGAGACTATGATACCGGAAAGTCAGGTATCATAGTCAGGACTGTTATTTTTTACATAAGAACCGAGAAACAAAAATTTATATGGCCTGTTAGATCACAATAACAAAGTGTCGACGAATCATATGGGTACCGAGTCACATAAAAATAATAGGTAATGTACTCGCCAGATATGATACTGACCGACCCCCTAGCTTTTTCCACGTAGCAAATTTTAACGCCTAACAAAAAGAAAGTTAGCAGACTGCGAAACGTTAGATATGATGGATATATGTTTATAGAAAACACGAAAACACACGAATTCATACGACAACTCAAAACGTTACATTATGCGTATGATGTATTCCTTCCCATCCAAAAGATATTCGACATGCAGTGTAAGTTAGAACTGGTGAAACTGGCTGGCAATGTTGGACTTGAGATAGTCATCAAGAAAACTAAGACCATGAGATTAACAACACCAGTGTAGAACCAGGCTAATAAATTGAATATGAAACATTCGAATAAACAAAACAAGAGCCGCTTTCGGACAACTCCGAAGCTCAAATATAACCCGTAAAACCGTGTTGAAAATATTGGAAGCATGCCTAAATTCTATTTTCCTATACGACAGTAAAATCAGTTTCAATCACGCAAAATTTACGGTATTTTATAAACAAATGCCTCAGGATCACATATAGTATATTATGGCCAAAGTATCATAGAGTTATGGAACTTAACGAATCTGCAATACATAAAATTCGAGATCGACAAAGA